GGGGGGAAGAGAAAAAAGAAAGTTGTAAAGAAAACTTACGTGCAAAATTCCTCTTTTCAGAGAATGGTATATTTTTTTCACCTACTAACCTTACAGTAGGACCAGCAACAAATCTGGCGTACCAGTCACGGTCTTTGTCATCCTTAGGGCTAACTAAAACCCTCTTACTCCTCGCCACCAAAGTAAAGATCCCATGTCGAAACAACTTAGGGGAGTAGAGGTGGATCAGATGAAAAAAGGTAAAAGACAATTGAGCCAAGTTAAGCCAAGTACCTTAGACAAACAACAACCCTCCACACAATGGGGCCAATTTGTCCTAAACAAACATTAAAAAAAATGACAGAACTCGATAATAACATGATCAATAGGGGGTCTAAAATTTAGTGTAAAGGGATACGTATACACGAAATAAAAGCCAACCTTAAAGGACGTGGTCCTTTGATTTGTATTAGGAATTATGATTGGGAAATCAAATTTCCAATGCCAATCTCTACGAACAACAGAGATCAAACCTTCAGTAATCTGAGAAGGGTAAACATCAGCACGATCAAGAGAGGACATAGAAGAAACCTGATTCCTAATCGACTTTCTATCGGTATAAAAAGAAAGTTCAGAGGGGATAATTTTGTCTACTATGGGTTCACGAACTGGTTCATTAGAGTTCCTACTTCTGGCAGAAGATATATGTGGAAGAGAACCCCTAGTTCTAGAAGAAGAAGGAGGAGTAGAACTAGGTGGAGGCAAAAAAGCACCTTGAATAGATGATGATCCTAAACTGCGTAATTTTCCCCTCTTCTGCTTCTAGTAGGAGCAAGGGGAAGTTCATCAATAATAGGAACTTTTTGGGGATTAGGGTTCGAAGAAGACATAGTTGTACGAGGAAGAAAACAAGAATGAATATTCAAAGGTGGAAAACTTTTATGAGAAAGAAAAGACAAAGGTTATATTTATACTCAGAAGCAACCGTCAAACAAAAAGATAATGATGGGAACGCCATGATGAAAACTGTCACTTCGTGATTGATGTAAGCCATAAAAAAGCCTTAAAAGGCGCTGAAGGGTTGCAGAACCAATCAAACGTCACCACGTGTCATATGCATTAAATGGAAGTGACATGTGAAGCGTTAGTTCTGGAGAAGGTATAATGATATGTAGAATGGCGGCAAAAATTCCCTCTTTAATGAGATTCACTTCCCAAATATTCAATTGATGAATAAATGGCAAATGGGGGGACTATCTGTATTGGAAAAAATCAAGTTAACATATAGAATTAATAATGTGCTGACATGTCAAGACACGTGGATCAATGAAAGAGTGACAACAGGCAAAGAGTATTCGAAGAGACACGAGCCTTAATAGGTACATGCATAGATTCAAGAAAATAGGAAGGAACGGTTACTCGGACCTCTTGGTTATTTGAAGAGATATCGGAGGAATGAACCTAGATAGCAAAAAGTACAAATACGTATTATCCGTAATTAATGAGCATCAATGATGGAAAATGTTACAGAATCTTCACGAAACAGTTACGATTGCTAATTATAACGTTACATTAATGCCATTAATTGTTCATAATGGCTCTGTTGTGAGAGGAAAAAAATGTATTACTTAGAAATAGCTATAAAAGGAGAGAATAAACATTTGTAAGGACATAGAATATTATAGGATTACATTGATTTACTTTGCTTTCTTTTATTTACTCAACTATCGTTTAAATAAACTCTTCATATTTGTTCCATATTTGATTATCAGTAACCCGAGTTCTTCTAAAATTAAGCTTTGACTGAAATTCCTATTTTCTGGTTAAACAGTATTACCACTATTTAACCTTCCACATAATTATTTTATTCTATTTTAATTCAAAAGTTGCAGAGAAACTATTTATTCTTTTCATTGCTAGAGAGTCAACGAAGTTCTTTCTCTTCATTCTCATTTTAGTTTCATTTATGTGCTGTGCTACAAATATTCAGAAGTCACCATTTAAATTCGGTTAATTACACCATTTTGTTTACCGTAATCGTTTTCTAAGAGAAATACTTACACAAATTTGAAGAGACGTTCTATTACATTTTTGAAGGTTTTTTTCTTTTAACTTTCTCTTTTGGGTTGTAATTTCCTCTTCATTCTTCTCACTTTAGCTTTATTTTTATTTTTTCACTCTTTGCATAAGTTACTTTTTATTTCTTGTATTTACACCTTTCGTTTTTCTAGATCGTTTGACAGAAGTGCTTACACAAATTTGAAGACATCGTTCGTTTACATTATTTTTTTTATGCTTCCTTCTCTCATTCATTTTCCAATTTAATTACTACTCTTCATGCTATAAGTATTTAATTATTCCTCCTAGAAGAATATTATTGGATTGGTGTTGCATTCGATGAGTGAAGAGATAGTAGACTTAGCATAGAAGAATATACGCATTCGTCTTAGCAACCTAAATATATAGAGAGATAAAGAA